AATTTATATTTAATATTAATTTTTTTTCAAAAAACATTATAATAATATGAATTAATTTGTTATAAAAAATATATATACAAAATTATTATAAAAAAATAAAATATTCAATTAATAAAAAAACGTATTGTATAAATGCAAATCGTAATAAATTAATTTATAAATTATATGAATATTCGTAAAGGCATTTTTGGGACATTATATAAATTTAAAACATTCATAAAAATAAATCTTGCAAAACAAAAATGGGTATCCAAATATTCCCAAACATCCTTATAAATTTTCCTACAAAATAAGCGTAAATCTCAGACATCTACATTCCAAAAAATAAACGGCCCCTAAGGGATCGATGTGTACGTCACTATAGTCAAGTGTGTGAGAAATCATATACGCATGTACAAGATATCTATTTTTTTTTTTAAAATCAATCCTGTGGCAAAATACATTGAGTTTAAGCTTTGTAATCATCCAAATTTATGCTCACATATTACATGGGAGTTATTTTGAAAATAATTCAAATGACTAAAAGTGTTTTTTTTTTATACAACATTTGGGGGTGGGGGTTCGAATTCACGACCTCTTGGTCAGAGACAGGTGCTTTAACTATTTGAGCTATGCTCGGTTTGATTCAAACAACTAAAAATTGATTTAAAATTTGATACTCTTTCATCTGAAATCTAAAAAGAAACACTAAGTTATAAATGAGATGAAGCTGAAGAACTCCATTTTTTAGTACAACATGTTGGGATAAAGTTCTCTCGTTCAGGTAAGCTTAAGAATACACATATGATAGTTCAGGTAAACTCTTCATTGAGTTTAAGGCATTCTCTCATTTTTTCCCAACTTTGTCATAACTAATATTAATATTGTTAGTTATGTGGTTATTTCGAATGTAGTCAAAATATGACGAGTACTACAATAACGCATCCAAATTTATGCTCACATATTACATGGGAGTTATTTTGAAAATAACTCAAACAACTAAAAGTTGATTTAAAATTTGATAATCTTTCGTTTGAAATCTAAAAAGAAACACTAAGTTACAAATGAGAATGAAGGTGAAGAACTCCCTATTTTAGTACAACATATGGGGTTGAAAGGATCGAACTTGCAACCTCTTAGTTGAAGATATATGTCAATTATCGCTAAGTAAACACTCGTTTTGACAAACTAAAGAACTCATTAAAGGACCAAAAATTAGATTAAATAATTTGTAAGTTGGTCTATATATTAAACTTTATATTATTATAGAGAGAACTAAATAAAACAAAAATGTAAATAGGTTTTATTGGACGTACCTTGTCAACCAAATACTGCAATTTTTCGATGTTTTCAAGATATGAACATTTTAAGATTATTTTGCTAAATTGATTTTAAGTAACATCGCAGATTTCTTATTGAAATATCAAGAGAATAAGTTATATACTCCATTTTAGGTTAGGTATTTATTGACATAACTTATTTATAAGTAGAATGATAGACTTCATATTCTATATATCCATTCATAAATCTTTTTAAGTTTAAGATTTAGATCAAGTAACCTTATAGATTTCTTATATATATATATATTATGAGACATATGTGTTTTCCATTTTACAAGATAAAGTCAAAGTGATGATGAACAGGATTAGAAGGCATAAAAGAATATCTTTAGAAAGTTTTGAAGAAAGTCAGGGTTAGATGGGCCAAAATGCAATTTGGATAAACATTCGAATCTCAACAATTCTATCTTATTTTCTTCCTTTCGCTTTGTAAATGAATTTGGTTCCAAATGTTTACAGTATTTTTCATCTTCATTCTTCAAAATAACTTTCAATTTTATGGTTAATGTGTAATAAAAAGGAAAAAGAAAATTTTATGGTTAATGTATCAGTCTATTTCAATAAAAGTTTTAAGTTAAAAACAATGTAAAGGCCGTTGCGACAGAACTTGACTTTAAAATTGCATGTGTTATACAAGGTTTAAAATGTCGAGTCTTAATTTTATGAAAATATATCAATGGAAATATAGACAAAATGTCGATATCAATGTAAAGATTATATAGAATTTTGAAGAAAATCATAAAAAATATTTAAATTAACAAATAAACATTTTTTCTATTTATTAATAAGTTAAAAATGATTAATATTCGTTTGCAAGAAAAATAAATAATTAATATTAATATTATGTATATATTAGTGATATATTATTGATATTTTTCATATTTTATCGATTTTTTTTGTACTATGATGGAAATGTCGATTTACCCATTATGTCGATGTCGAACCCATGAATATATGGACATGTCAATCGAAATATCGACGTGTGGATGCATATTTATATCATGGTGTTATATATATTGTTAGAGTCAATTTTTTATAAATTAGGGTGTGTTTGGTTGATGATTTGAAAATCGAGATTCAATATCTATGCTTTCAATATTTTAAATATTTTTTATACTTTGTGTTGTATTTGAAAATATATACTTATTTTATGCTATTATATATGAAAATGAATCAAAATCGGGAGAAACCGGTCTAAGTAAGCCACGTTCTCTCGACACATCTTTTTGTGTGAATTTGGCACACACTATCAAGCAACGTCTCTTTCTTGATATTATTGCTGATATTATTCCCCTTCTATTCCACTTACTCCATACCAATTTGCTCTCCTCTTAAGTAAGTTTTGGATCCGAGTGGTAGGGTGATACCTCAAGGCCCATGCTTTTGCCAATGGATCTGCCACTTGAGGCCACGTATATTTTAATATCATATCATACTTATGTTGAACATAAATTGATTAAAATTGGATAAGATAAAAAGAAAAAATTAAATGTATCAAAAAGTCTATAATTTTCCTAAATTATTAGAGACTATCTTTATACTTACCTAATAAAAAACTAAGGTTAAAAAATAATGAACAATTAAAAAAAAGAGTTGATTTAATTAAGGTTACTGTTTGTGCAACAAAATGGATGGTCTCGGCCGACCAGGTCGAGATGAACCGACGAAGAGAGTTGGGTGAAATTGGGTGAAATGGGGCGAGTAGGGAGATCAAATTGGCGAGAAGAGACTTGCACAAGAGAACAAACATCTGATGCTAAAATCAGTGTAAGAGTTCGACCTTGATATTGAGATCAAGACATAATGAGATACTTGACTACGAAGTGGGATCCCTATTTATGGTATCCGACAATGCATCTAACTAGCAGTTAAGCATGTCGTATTGAAGCTATTCTAGTCGGATGTGATCGTGCTGGTCGTGTAGAGTTTTGATAACTCTCTGCCCAGTATTCGACTAAATGTAGTGGGTCTTTCCTTGGGTGAAACGAGTGCCTAAGACCAACCTGGTGGTCGGTTGCTTGCTCATCTTGAACTGGTGAGTGATTTACCCACTCCCTGCTCTCCACGTGGCAATGTTGTTTTACACCTCCAATAATTGCTAGCTAGTCATGATGGTTCAAATTTATCAATCTTTTTTCTACTTTTTTTCTTTCTCACACAAATATATATAAATGTTGCCAACCCGAGCATGGTTCAACCAGTTAGGATATATATCCTTAACCAAAAGTTGAAAGTTAATGCTCACCCTTCAACTAAACTAATCTAAAAAATCTATACATTAAAAGTAATTAAAAGTTAAACCAGGTTCAAATTTAACCATTTAAGAAGTAAATTTGTATAAAATAGTATAAAAATGACATAATTACAAAAATAGTTTATAATATATCTAAGTTGAGTGTATATATATCAATCATTAATTATGATAAATCATTGGTTTTTCTTAAATCAAATTTTAAATAAACCAATCAAGGAGGAGGGAGAGGTAGTTCGAGCTTCCAAACAACCCTAATCAATTTAGGAAAACATAAAGAAAACGAATCTTTAAACCAAGGATTAATCCTTAAAATCATTACTCAAATGAATATCTTTGGTTAGATCCTCATCATTATTGTGTCTCTTATCTCTTGTCTACATATATCTCCCTACCATAATTTCTCAAAAATTCTTAATTTTAGTTTAATAAATAAATCTACAACTAATCTTCATGTCGAGAGAGAGTTAATACTCAAGCCAAGAAAGATCAACAATATAGTAGTTCAACTCAGATGGGCCTACATCCACTTTGCAAGATGAGCTAGAGATTTCATTCAATAGCTAAAAGCGTGGAAGAAGGATATGTTTAATAAACCTAGATTCTCAATATGCCCCTTAAAGATGGTGGCTMTTTTAGGGTTACCAATCTGGGTCGGATCATTTTTTAAGACTAGAGATTTGTTTTAGTTTGTTGGACTATGATAACTCCATTGATTTTTTCGACGTGAGATCCTTAAAATTAAGTTCATAAGAGTAGACTAGAGCTTAACTAGTATCGAGCCAATTTAAAATAACCTCTAGCTTATTAGCTATGGCATTTAAGAAGGAGCAATTGTTTAACACCGCTACAATCTAAAATCAATTTCTTAAATAGGGATTATTATTTGTTGGATTCCAACCGAAACATTACTATTTTAGTGATATTGAAATGTGCATATATAAAGGTGGGAATTGAGAATCTAATCTCTCACGCAAAGCAAGGGAATAATGTACTCTTTTTCATACTTTAATATAGAATAAAAGATAGGGAATCAACAAAAAGAAAAGAAATAGATGGATTATGTCATCGTGGGATTCCCTTTCCCTCCCTATAAAAGGCATATCTTGCAAGGGAAAAAAATATATAGCAATATCAACAACTCTTCTATTTGTTGTGAAAAACCTATATATTTTACTTATGGTGTACCTTCCAAGATACGTGGCATTCAAATCAAAATTCCATGGCCTTTACTTGCGCTATGTGAATGACGAAATTCCACGTACACAATCATTATTGTCGAGCTCTCTGGAGAATGTTGTAAGTCCATACACAAAGTTTGAATTGGAGACAGCAAAATGTAATCCCTCCTTAGTCAGTATACGATGTTGCTACAACAATAAATATTGGGTCACTGAGTCACCAGGTTCAGATTTATCGGTGCAAAAGCTATGAAAACAGAAGAAGACAAATCCAAATGGACGTGCACATTATTCCAGCCTATTTATGATAACACCGAACAAGCATATCGGTTTCGTCATGTCCATCTTGATCTTTTTGTAACCCTGTCGACGATTCCTGATGATGTTTTTATTAATTTTTTGTACACAGATGTTGCAGGCTTTCCTGATAAATATTGTGATCTTAGTACAATCATTGATTGGGAAACGTTGGTTACATTACAAAAACATGTTGCTTTCAAAGGTGACAATGGTTGCAACCTCAGGGCAAGATGGATGAATAACTATGGATTCTTGGAATTTGAAACCACCGACATTGGAGATCCTGCTGTTCCAATGGAAACCTTCACAACAAAAGATGGATGTATTTGCATAAAGTCAGATTATATCGGAACGTTTTGGCTGTGTAGCGACGTAACTAATGATATATTGGCAAGGTCAACTGATGTTACAGACGCGGACCCAAATACTTTGTTTTGGCCCATCAAACTTGATAACAATACCATTGCTCTACGCAGCTTGAATAACAACCGTTTCATAAAAAGATCCAGTTATCCATTAGTGGAAAATGGGCTCTGCCCTTTGGTCAAAACCATTGATCAATATTCAAAATTTCAAATAGAAGAGGTTGTTCTTTCACGAGACATATATGACGTACGTTTTCGACCGTCAGATGCTAGGATCTACGATCAAAGTTTACTGGTGATGGCCACTGGAACTGCTACTAATAGGATAGAAGTACCCAACACTGTGGGCTTGCATCTCAAATATACAGACACGAAATCTAGCACGTGGAATGCATCAGTTTCATTGAAGTTAGGTGTGAAAACAAAAATTCAAACGAAAATACCCTTCTTTGTAGGAGGAGAAGTTGAAATGTCTGCTGAATTGTCAGGAGCATATCAATGAGGGAAAACTGAGACGAAATCAAGAGAGCTTGAAACGACTTATAATGTAACAGTGCCGTCAATGACCTCTTTGATTGTCAACGCAAGGTACATGTGATGTTCCCTATTCGTATACTCAACGTGACGTTCTCACTGATGGAAAAATAGCTAAATCTCATCTAGACGATGGTGTTTACACCGGCACCAGTTGCTATAACTTCACATATGAGACCAAGAAGATACCCATGCTACCTGCATGAACAACAACAATAATGATAAATAAATAAATATATGAATGATGATATGTTTGCTACATGTGATAAACATAATCGCATTTTTTGGAAAATTGGCAAGGTTTATAATACTTTTACGTGGTTTTTAGTTTGTATTATGTAAGAGAATAAAACTATTACATTTGGGCCGGTTTTGCAAGACTTATAATAAGTACTTATATATTTTAATTATATATCTTTGCATTATGCTTTTGACTAACTCTTGTGAATCTTACCCCATGGCTGTGAATCAAATTAAATCTTCAATAAGGTATTGAAAACTTAGTAAATTTTGGAAAATTAGTATGCTGCACATTTATATTATTTTGTATTTCAAAATTTCAATAATGTCACCAAGATAAAGTTTTTAGTCACATATATAAACGGAGTACACCATTTAAATTATATATTTTTTATAATATATCTTACTATATATATCTCATTGACATGTTAAAATTTAGGTCAGCCCATTTAATTTCCTCGATGAGAAGTTTGTTCTAGATTGAACTATTCACCTCTACCAAAATACTAGCCAACTCCTCATCTTATTCTTCAAATATCTTTTCTCTTCTATCTCCTCCATATGTGACTAGCGTCTTACATTCTCTCTCGCTCTACCTTTAAATACTTCTACATGTAAGGATTAAAGTTTTCTAAATTATAATAGGAAGATCTTTTTTTATTTTTAAATATATATAATTGTTTTCATTATATATAACTATAAAATATGAATATTTATAGTTTTATTTTATTAAAAAATATAAATTTTATATGAATTATAATTCAATTTTAGTATACGTACTTATATATCTTGATATAAAATAAACTTAAAAATGTCAAATTTAAAAAATTAAAATTCAATCCTTTATTTAAATACTTAAATTTAATCTTAAAATCTTATTTTCTTGAAGAAAAATTCTCTCTTTTTTTTTCCTTATTAACAAATATGTCTTCTCCTTTTTTCTTTTTTTTTTTAATAAAAAACTCGACTTCTATTTTATCATATTTAAATAACGATAGAAAAATATATAGGTTTTAAAAAGTGATTTCAAAATAAAAAGAGTGGTTTATTTTGGAGTCATATAATGTTAAGGATCCCACATTGAAAAGAGAAAAGACATAATAATGGTTTATAATAGACATGTTTTATTCCTCAAATCTGACCAAGATAGATGAACCAAAAGAGCCACGATCTTGAGGGGACATGAACCCTTACTAAAATAAAATTATAAGCTTAATAATATTTAGTTTAAATAAATTATATTAAAGAAAGTGTTTATTTTTTAAATTAGTCGCAATCAAAATAACAAATATATAGGTTTGATCTTAATCATATTATTTTGAGCTCAACATAGTAAATTTAAAATAGTATTTTATTTCTAAGATAATCAAATTAAAATAATTACAAAAAATATAGAAATGTTAGTTTTATCGTTATTTAAATAAAAGTTAATATTCTTCTTCTTCTTAAAAAAAGGTGTTAATATTATGCAATAAAAACAAAAGTAAAGAAACAGTTAAATCATAACTCAATTTCATTTTCTAAAATATTTATAAAATAATATAACATAAAATTTTAAATTTGGAATTGAAGGAAATATAATTTTATTGAAAATTTGAACAAATTATTGAAACCTAACTTTATTTGTAACTTTACGAACCAAATCAGAGAGTAAAAATCAAACATGCGTAACTCCAAACTAAACTCTGCAACCCGAATACATATTATATAACTCAAGACTAAACGATTCTACACCTCAAATAGAAACTTCACAACTCTAGCTATTTAATTCCCCGAGTTTTCTTCCCCGTTATTCTTTGCACTTTGGCACGATACATTCTATTATTTTTTTTGTAGAGATAAAAGAAAAAGAAAGAAAGAAAAAAAAAAAGAATACTTCCAAACTGACTCTAGATTCTTCATCCTCAATTTATTTTTATTTCCTATAGTGATTCTACGTGGAAATCGAATCCCCATTCCACAAAAATTCTAACCCATTTTGGAGTATTCAAATGATAAAGTTTTGAATATATGCGAACTACTTTAGTCTTTGTCATTTTCTCATCCGATAGACAAAAATAATAAAAGATTATGGCTATATAATCAAGTAGAAGACTGTATTAGGTATTTTGACTAAAATCAAAGGCAAAACCATTAAAGCTCTTATCTATAATGGACAATATTATACTAGTACATAAATATGGAGAGGTTCGTTGCCCTTAACTGAAGGGACGTGAATCCCGGAGAGAACGGGTTCTTGAATTTCTTTTGAAATTTAAAAAACAGAAAAATATAAAACAGTGAAAATATTGGATTTTACCTTTGAAGACTCTTTTTCGTGTAAATCCAAGGAGACAACACCACTTGATCTTCCTCGCTGAGTATCTTGGTCGAGAATCCAGATTGTCGGATCCAATTGCAAAGGATTGAGAGAGTAAGAGAGTTGA